GGAGGAGAAAGGGGGGAGGGAGGATGAAAGGGAGGGAGAGAGGGAAGGAGGGAGGGAAACAAGCAAGCTAAAGTCATCCCAAAAAACATTACATCTAAGAAATAACTAATGCAATTAGTAAAAATAGGATCAGATAAACGTAAAAGGCCAACTTCTTCACTATATCCGTATTCTTACCAGGCACACACCAAAGCAGAAACAACACTGTCATTATTAGGAAGACAGTGATATGAAGGCATTGCCAGAAGTCCACGTGGGTGCTCTCGGGGCTGAGATGGTAGCTGTTCTAACAAGTGTGTAACATATAATGGGAACTATCGTAAGTCATCTGCAATACTAGTTACATTTTTCTGGTATTCTTCCATTCTGAAAGTGGGTTGTCTCCTTATTTCTGAGTTCTTAAGAGTACTTTGTATATTTTTAAGTATTTTTTATCTAAAAAGTCATTATCACATCCAAAACAGATTTCATGCTTATTTTCTAGAAGTGACCCAGTTTGCACTCTACATTCACATGTTTCCAATTTTTTTTTTTTTAAGTTAATTCTTGTGACAGGCTGATGTGGAGACACATTTTCTTTGAAAGTGGGTAGGCATCTCCTGCATGCGTACAGTGTGTTCACTTGAGCTAAACAGAGCTAAAGCAGAATGATCATGGAAATGTGCTCCTGACTTATGATGCACAAGTAAGTGATTACTTTTAAGCCATGCTGTGTTCTTAAAGTGATATGCACAAATACATGTGTTTGTGTTTTGTCCAGTGTAGAAGTCAAATTATTTAAGGAGGAATAAACTTGAAAAAAATTAAATCAAGGTGATTTTTTTCTGTGCAGATGCTTGATTTTAGAGTTTGAATAGTTGATGCACCTCTGTACATTTTACTCAGATTAAAAACTTATGATGACCTTGTATGTAAATGTTATTTACTTAGTGAAGACATTAAAGATAACTTTTTGAAAAAAAAAATAAAGAAAGTGGATGACTAGCTATGCCAAGATCACTCACAAGGGCTAGGCTTTGTCAAGCACTATCTTTGTTCCTTTGCCAGAGTTCACTTCAGTACATTTGTATCTGTCTGTTTCTGGATTGTGTACCTTGTTTCACTGATCCATTTACCTATTCTTCTGTCAAAATCAGTCTTGAAAACAGCAGATTTCTAGTGACTATTAATGCCAGGTAGTGTTGAGTCTTTCACATTTGTTCTTCAGTATTATGCTAGTTATTCTGGGTCTTTTTCATCTACGCAGTTTTAAAATCTCTTTTTAAATATATATCCACAAAAATAACTTGCCGGGATTTAAACCAGGACTTTGCTGAATACACAGCTGATGCTGTAAAGAACCAGCATCTTAACAAGGACATGGTTCCACACGAACTATCAGTGACGGCTGCTGGGAAGGAAAATGGTATAGCCACGCTGAGAGACAACCTGGCAGTGTCTTACAAAGCTAAACAGATGCTTATCATACAACCCAACAATCACACTCCTTGGGTTCTGTCCAAAAGAGCTGCAAGATAATTTTGATATAAAACCAGCACACAGGTGTTTACCAATTTTATTCTTAAATGCCAAAATTGAGAAGCAACAAAGGTGTCTTCAGTCAGTAAATGCTAAATGCTGAAAAGAAGTCAGCTGCCACGCTGTATGAAGACAGGAAGGACTAATAAATGTGCACTACCAAACAGGGAGTCCATCTAAAAGGCCACATGCCACATGCCATTCCGACTGCACGAGACTCCAGCAACAGGCATTCAGCACAAGGCAAATGGAGAAAGTAAAAACATCTGTAGTCATCAGGGGGTGGGAGAAGAAAGCAACAAACAGGTGGAGTGCAGAACATGTGTGGGATGGCGAAACACCTCCCTCTGGTGCCATCATGGTGAACTGCTGGGGACCAGCTTGGATCTGTAATGAGTAGGCTATAAGTATTACTGAACTGGCTTATGAATTCGATACTGATTAAATTGTGTCTGTCCTGGGCCTACGTGACTTTCTAAATGAGTCTTCAGCTGGCATGTTAACTACGCCAACAGTCACAATTGAGGCCTCACTGCTTGGTGACACTGGCGTTCTGACAGCAACTGAGGACTTGATGACTCTTATGCAGCCATTCTGCCAAAATAAATGTTAAAATAAAGAGAGCAACAGGTTACTTCTTAACCATACCTGTTTCTCATAGGAATATACATTGCTCCTTTTTTTGGGTACTGGAAATCGAACTTGGGCCCTTGGGTTTGGCCTTGTGAGGCAGTCGCCAGAAGCACTCAGCTAAATCCCCAGCCCTTACTGCTCCTTTTTATAAGCCTAGCTCTCGGCAGCGCCACAGCCCACTGTTCCTTACCTGTCTTTACACCCCCTGCAATGTGTAGTCAGTCAATAACAGCAAGTTCAGAGCCTCGTGGTCTCAGCCTTGCAAGCGCTCTGACCATCCTGAACCCTCTTTATGCAGTGAATTTGTCTTTGTCTTATTCTTTTCCTCGGGCATCCCCCAATAGTGAACACATCACCTACCTTTGTCCAAATCAAACTGCATGACATTGCACAGAAGCAGTGGACACAAGGGACAGTGATGCAGCAGCGAGGCTCCCTGATGCCAACAACTGCCCACTCCAGTGCAGCCCATGCCCAGCAAGAGGTCAGTGTGGGGGTCAGAGTACAAAGGGGATACTCTGTGCTTTAAGCTCAACTTGGCTATGAACCTAAAACCTGCTGTGAAAAACAAGTTTACTGTTTTTAAAAAGGCTATATATACAGCCGGGTGTGGTGGTGCACACCTGTAATCCCAGCACTCGGGAGGCTGAGGCAGGAGGATCACTGTGAGTTCAAGACCAGCCTGAACTACACAGTGAGTTCCAGGTCAGTCTCAAATACATAGTGCGACCTTATCTAAAAAAAAAAAAAAAAAAAAGGCTATATACAGAGCCAGGGATTTAGCTCACAGTGGTTCCACTGCCTGCCTCCTAAGTGCAAGGACCAGAGTTCGATCCCTGGTACACACGTACACACACACACACCCCTTATATACAAATGCACATTCACATCAGTAATCACCAAAGCCAGGAAGTAACTGAGATGCCCTTCTTGGGCCAGAATGTTAACTCAGTGTCACCGTGCCTGCCTGGCAAGTGCAAGATCCTCAGTTCCAGCCTCAGTACCCCCGCAAAAAAGCCCTTTTCTAGGTAAATGGATAAACAAATTGCATATCCATAGAATGGAATATTATTCAGTGATAATAACAAGATACCATGCCACAAAAAGAAGTGGAAGAACTTTAAATGCATATTCCTCTGTAAAAGCAGTCAATCTGTAAAGGCTACCCACTGTACTCCAAGTATGACATTCTGCAGAAGTGAAATCTGTAGAAACCATAAAAGATCAAGTTAGCAGGCACTCAGAGGAAGGGCTAAAGGGATGAGGAAAGGCAGAGGTAAGCCTTTTTAAGGCAGTGAAATTATTCTGTACCAAGTCAGGCCAGGTAGTGCATACCTATGATTCCAGCAACCAGGAAAGGCTGAGGCAGTAGGATCACAAGTCCAAGAGAATCAAACCTGTCACCTAGTGCTTGCGAGGCAGGCAGCAGCACCACTGAGCTAAATCCCGGCCTCTAAAATTATTTTATATTCAATGAAGAAAGAAGAAATAGCCCATCAGGCATGGTGGCACAAGCCAATCATCATCTCAGCACTCAAGAGGCTGAGGCAGGATCACCATTACTTCGAGGCCAGCCTGGGCTACACAGCAAGACCCCATGTAAAAAGAAAGCAAAAAAAAGCAGGGGGAGGAGGAAAAAGGAAAGGAAAGGAGAGGAGAGGAGAGGAGAAGAGAGGAGAAGAGAGGAGAGGAGAGGAGAGGAGAGGCGAGGCGAGGCGAGGCGAGGCGAGGGGAGGGGAGGGGAAGGGAAATAAATGCCAAATAGCAGGGTCTTTGCCCTAGAGATATGGAGAAGCAGATCTGAACTTATATTCTATGTATGCTAAAACAGAGCAAGTAAGTGTTTTATGGGTAACAGGAGATCGGCTTCTCTTCATAGGAAAGGGAAGTACAAAAGGGAAAAGGCTCAAACTTC